CAATGGGCACAAACTGAAGCAGAGGAAGCTCCAGCTGAAGATGAGGAAGAACTTCTTCCCTCTGAGGGTGACGGAGCCCTGGCCCAGGCTGCCCAGAGGGGCTGTGGAGTCTCCTTCTCTGGAGATATTCCAGCCCCGCCTGGCCGCGGTGCTGTGCAGCCTGCTCTGGGTGACCCTGCTTGGGCAGGGGGTTGGGCTGGGTGACCCACAGAGGGCCCTGCCAACCCCGACCATTCTGTGATTCTGTGATTCTGACGGCTGCAGCGCTGGTCTGAGCTGTCACGACTCTTTACGTTTTCTCCTCCTGGTACCACGTCCTCTTTAATTACGTACAAGTAAGTGGTTTAACTTTCGTTCCTCCCTGGAAACCTGGCTGTCGCAAATGAGCAGCAGGAGGGAGCAGGAAGCTTTAGGCTCAGCCTTAAAGCCACCAAGAGTTGGACGGCTGTGGCAGTGGCACCCCAGGGACGTGCCTTCCCTGCCAGCCAGGACACCAGTTCCAGCGAGAGGAATGTCGGGCAGAGGGGACAAGCCTGAGCCACCAAAGAGGACGGGCGTTTCTGGGCTGTGTCGGGAAGGTTTTGGCAGCAGGGGGAGACTCCTGCCCCTGGAAACGTCATCTGGTGAGTGCAAACGTGGGACAGGAGGGTAAGCCCTGCCACTCGCCCACAGGCGCCCAAAGGACGCCCATCCTGAGATGTCCTCCCTTGACCCTACCTTGTTGGTGCAGGCAAAGCCTGCCCCCAGCTCGGCCAGCAGCCGAAGCACTCCGTCACTGCCGTTGCACTTAACCGGGAAGTAGGGTTTCACACGGGGCAAGGCCTTCAGGAATCGCAGGTGTTTCTTCACGATGTCCCCGAGGTCTGCCAGGAAGAAGGCTTGCTGGTCGTTCTAGGAGAAAGGCGGAGTGAGCAGCGGTCACCTCCCCACCACCGCCTCTGCCGAGGGGTGCTGGCTGCCGGGGAGCAGTGGAGCTGCCAGCCCTCACCGCCTGGTGCAGCTCCACGAGGAGGTTCTCCAGGAGGTGTCTGGTGGTGAAGCCCTCCTCCACCATCATGAAGTTGGATTCTTTCAAGTACCCATTCATGGTCAAGGTGTGATAACGCTGGTTTAAAGCCTCCTGGAGCAGGGTATAGCTTCTAAGTATGCGACATGCTGGAAAAAGAAAGGGAATATTAGAGGCAGGGCTCCAGAAGGTCCCTCAGCTCACACCACTCAGCCTGTACCCCGAGGTGCTCCCCGTCCCTCCCATGGGCCGCACATGGCAGCGCTGCCCTGGGCAGAGCTCTCTGCTGCTCTTCTCCAAACCAGCGCCTCAGCCGAGAGCCCTGCTGTGGGTTAAAGCATCTCCAGGGGGAGGAGACACATTTCTCTGCAGCTTCAGAGCTTTGTTTTGGCACACAACAACCCTGTCTTCTTCAGCAGCAGTTCAGGCACCAACAGAGTCAACAACAAAGCCAAATTCACTGCAGAGCGGATGGCCTACATACGCCAGAACCTGTCCCTTCCTGCTCCGGCACGTAGCTACATCTGCTGTACACCTCACAGGGCGAAGTTCCCTTGCGGTTTTCAGTTAGCTGAAGCCTCACAGACCCACCTTCCCAGGCACCCCAGCCCCGTGGAAAGGGAGGCATCTTTCAAGAGCACAGCACGGGCCCCTCGCTGAGGCCAGCCAGTCTGGGGATGGTCTGGGTCTGTGCTGTGGTTCCAGTTTCACGTCTCTCCCGTGACACTGGGTGCAGAACAAGGGGACAAGTTAAGCTGCACGGTGTTTCCTGGCTGGCACACTTCGCGAGCTTCGGCTTTAAGCTTGCACACTTAGCTTTAACAATCTCCTCCCCCGGTTCCAGCCTATCCCATAACCCAGGGAGCTGAAAACCCAGCACGAGCTCGCAGGAAACCTTTCCACTCCAATAATCTGGCTCTAGCTCCAGGGCTCTTCCAGCAATATGGTCTCTCTGATCTGAAGCGAGCGGGAGACAGAGGTTTCATCTCTCAGAGCTGCACACCACCCCCTCCTCTGCAGAGACCTAATGACGACACTCGGGATGGGCACTAGGAGAGAGGCCACGCTGAGCCCGGAGCAGCAGGGGGTTTTAAGGCATTGAGCAAGCACCAACAGCTAACGCCAGAGATGGGAAATGGGGAGAAAAACGGGACTTTGAAGCTCTTAGAGCTTTATACTCAGGAAAGGAGAGCAGCTCCTCCAGCCTCAGCCTTCACTTCACAAAGACATCACGAAGCAGCACCCAGCCCGCCCTGGCTGGGCACAGAAATGATGAGCGATTAAGCGGGTCATCCCTGCCAGCCCCGGGCATCCCCTCCTTACCAAGGGCCAGCGCCTCACTCCCCGGTGACTAGGGGTGCTGCCAGGGGGGCCCCCTGAGGAACGGCGAGCTCCCGCAGCACCCCA